GCCGAGGGCCGGGGGTCCCTGAACTGGCAGTTGATCTGGCGTAGTGTGAAGTGCAGCGGGAAGGCAGGAGCGCTGAGGGGAGCTGCCGTTAGGAGCGCGGGGACCGCGAGAGGAAGCGAGCAGCGGTGACCCCAGAGTGGTTAGCCCGGGAAGCGGCGCTCCGCGGAGAAATGGAAAAATGCTAAAAAAATTGGAGATAACCAAGTAAGGGGGAAAAAAAAAAAAAACCAAAACCCCACCAAACAAAACCCCAAACACCCCCTTAAATTGCACAAGAGCAAATAAATATGAGTGGGCTGTAAATGAACTTCTGGTGGAAGCAAAAAGATGTTTTAGCCATAGCGCAGTGTGAAGTCATGGGGTGATTTTGCAGTCAGAGTCGTGGGGAGGAATAAAGGAATTGGTTTTAAGCTGCCCCGTATGTGTTTGTGGAAATAAGTTTGATAACAGAGGCTTAGAATCAATGACCTGGGGCATCTTTTTCTAGCTCAGCATTCTTATCTAGAATAATAAACACTAATAGGTTTTTATTGCTTTTTATCAATAACAGGGAGGTTTAGCTAGTGTTCTAAGCATCTATGCCTTTTAATTTTCACCTGCTTTCCTGTTTCTTGGTTCTTGTCCTCAGGAGGCCTTCCCAGCTGGTTTCTATTAACTCTGCCTTACGTGTTAGTCCTTCTTCTGGGTTTATGCAATGTTTATCAGCCAGAGCCAGAAGTTTGATATCTTGCCGGTGATTTCTGGTGAAGAACACAAACACCCCCCCAACTTGAGCACACGTATTTAATAAAGTTCTCCTACGGAAGTCATGTGGGAAAGCTCTTCTATTAATTAACATTTGCAGAAGAGAGGCCAGAGGTGTTATGAGTCTCTTGTGAGAAATTGGTTCCACCTTGCATGTTCACCATTAGGTTGATCTTATTTCCTCATTTGTGATGTGTTTGGATAAAATGAGCCCTTGATTCAGTAGTAGTAACCGACTGTCATATATTTAAGTTATTTAAGTGCTGACATCTGGGTTGTCTTCATCTATTACTAGCATTAATGGTAAATAGGTTGTAGAAATTATTTGAAATTCAAGTCATTGGTAATACGGAAGCTTCTGCATAGATTTCGTGTTTGTTTAGTTAGACTAGCTGTTGAAAGAGTTAGATTCAAAAGAAGCCGATACTTTTTCCTCAGCTTAAGTTGAGAAGCATAATACAGAACAGTCCATAAAATTATCCATGCTGCTGCACCTTACTCTTCAGCGTGCAGGAGAAAATCAATTTGCTTAATGTTTACCAAGTGTGATCATCTTCTTTCAGCAAAAATGAAGAGAAGGACAGAACCTGAATTTAGCAGCCCCCAAAAGAAGCAGAAGAAGAGGATAGAAGACTTGGGATTAACCCTCAGTTCTACTTCAGATGACGAAACTCAATTTAGTAATCATACTACTCAGGGTAAGGTTGGAAATAATATGCTGCTGCGGGGAATCTAAATAATAACTAGGAATTGAACCCCTGTCTCTTAAATCCTAATTGATAGCCTGAATCTCAAGGGCATACTCTCTCTTTAGGTGAAAATCTACATTATTTCTGTTCACAAACTTGGATTGGTGTGAATTTTTTTTAGCTTTTTTAAAATCTCATGTAAACCGTTTGGTCTGGGAATTGTATGAATTCAGACCCAGAAAATAGAACTTGAGGTAGATGACGAGTGCATGATCCAAAGCTGTAAAGATTCTTGTAATAAATGAGCAGCGTTAATCTTTTCAGTCTCAGTAGTTATTTCTGTTTTGGAAACTTCCAGTAGCGAGGAGTTGTGGGTGTTGTGCTGTAAAGAAACATCATAATCCATCATTGTTTAAAAAATGAAAAAATCAGTAATTTTACCACACTTTTACAGATGAGAGAAATTGAGATGAATACAAAGGGTGGGTTGGTAGGGACTCCTACAATGCAGCATCGTCTCTTTTCTGGTTCAGTGTTATTTTGGGGGGGGAGGGGGGAATTGCGAGACCTCACAGGTGTTTGGCTTCAGAAAGAAAAACTGTTTCAGAATTAACGAGATTAGTTGCCTACTTTTTCTCAAGTCCGAGTGTGCCTTCTCACCTGTAGCTTGAGGTATACCAAAGATGAGGCGAGTGCCCGACACAATTGGTATTGCTGCTGCGGGGCACTTTGAACTCACCCAGGGCAGTACTTCAGGTTGCCTCACAGTCACGTGTGCTGCTTCTGAGTCTTGGGATTTCCCGTGGTCGTAAAGTGTTGGTGAAAAAGGGCCTGAACAGATAAAGAAGCCTTCATCTTGTGAAAATGGAAGGGGGTGTATATGGAAGATGGGTGGGCCAGTTTGGGAGTAGCTGTAGTGACAGGGTGCGGTGTGCGTACTGGTCTGGCAAGGCTGGTGGTGAGTGAGGAGGTTGGAGGTACGGGGGGGTGAGAGCTGGGGTAGGGAATGCTGTGTGCGCTCAGGGCTGGGCTAACAAATTCAAACCAACATTTTTTAGATTTTTCCCCTCCCTTTTGATCATTGAGTTCATATATGGGTCAAAATAGGCTGTAAATCTTTATGTTTAAGGAACAAGTTGATACACTTCAAGGACTACATTTTGGATAGGGTTAATTGTTCAGTAGTCTGTTACATCCATTGTGGTTTCCAGTGAAAGAAAGAAGGTTGGGGGAGAAGTGATTTGAGATCTGATCTCAGCTGAGCATGGCCTAGCAAATGTTAAAAGCAAGAAGAGTTGTGAAGGGACTTTGAGATTTATGTAGAGGGTATTGTGTTTGAGGCACATTATGAGCCTCTGGAAAATAAGACACAGCTCAAAAGCAGGCAGCAAAGTTAATTAAAGCTGTGTATTGGAGAAGCAGAAAGCAGTAACTAACCCTGAAGCAAAATCCACTGTGGTCCTGTTCACATCGAAGAACTTTGTGAAGGGAAGAGAAACGTAGCTTGTGTAACAGATGTTTGGAAATCAAGATGGGTATATAATATTGCAAACACAAGTTAAATTGTAGCCTTGCTTGGCTCAAGCTGGAAGCCTCAAAGGTTGATACTGTAAAACCCTAGCATAGTAGTTATGTGGGGAAACAAGTCCTGAATCTTAAAATGTAATGGTTCAGCAACAAGGATTGAGCACACATTGAAATATGCCATAGTCATATGTTTCACTGTGGTGTCTTTCATTTTCACTTCACTTTCTCGTAATGGCCTTTCTCTGCTGATTCTCTAGTTGTTTCCTGTTCACTGATGCTCAGTTTTCATAACAGGAAAATACAGAGATCTGAGTTGGGAGAGAAATAATCTGTGTTTTTCCTTAAATCAGAAAAATGTAAGAGAAGTTCAGTCCTTCTTTCTAGGTAATTATAATGTATCTTTTTAAACACTTATATGGAGTTAAATAATTCCTTTTTAAGTGCTAAACAGAAAAAGATTAACTCTGCTAACAACAACTTTCTGCGTTATCTCAGGGCAACTTATGTAGTTCAACTTCTCCTAGTTGTACGAAGTAGCACAGAATGGTTTGTAGCACTCGGTGAACAAGGGAGGCTCAAGAGGCAGAGGTCCAATGAAGAGCATGGCTGTGCTTGCTGTGGGTTGCTGCTCCAGCACTCTGTACGGCCTGCCCTGTAGCATTAACTTCAGTCACCACATGACTGACATGGTGCTAGGCAAATTTTAGGAAGGAAATTTGTGCCATTGCTCGGTGGGTCGTAGGGTCTCTGTTGCTACTCACCTGGTGCAGAGCAGGCAGTGGGACAAATGATGCGACTACCACGATTCCTGCCCAGATCCCAGTTACGTCCAGCCCAGAGCAAGCAGGTTTGGGCGTCTTGCAACTGTAGAGCAGCAGCGAGGACCATACAGCTCGTACAGGCCTAGATTCTTCCCAGGTAGGTCCCAGGGTAGAACTGAGCATAGGCAGAGCTTCATTCTTTGGTGCCCGTGAAGGCTCTGCCGCATCAGTTTCAGGTGACAAAAGTTTATTTTTTATAGTGGTACTTATTACTGTGATTGGACCATTCACTTGATTAACTTCTTCCTCAAACCTTTGTGTCTGTCAGGGTATTTTTAAACTAGATTGATGTCTTCTAACGTTATCTTTCACCTGGGTTTGTATGCGTCAGTAAAGTCTAGAGGTGAAAAACTGTCTCATCTGCTGTAGTGAACTTGTGGATCCTCGCTACTGAGGTGGGTAGTGGAATCAAAGTGAAGTTTAATATGGGGATTAAGGGATCTATCTCTCTTCTTTCTGCAGTGTTGGCCGTTTTGTAGATGCCTGTGTACTTGATGTGGATTTTTGGTTGAGTTAGGGGTGTGTTTACACCTGTGGTTAGGTAGGAAACTGAGGAAAATCCAGTATGTTTTATCAAGGTGTTATTCTTGGGAGAGAATCTCTGTGGATTTTCTTGGCTCCTCAGGTTCATTGCAAAGGTTGGGCACACCACAGTGTACTATCATGGTCATGCTGTGGCCTGTTCTGCTGCCTTAATAGTGTTTGCCCGGCCCAATTGCCGGAATCCATTGGCTCAGAGAGGTTGTGTGTGTCCCTGAGACAAAGGGGCAGACGACCAGCTGTTGGTTCCGCAGGGTGTTTTATATTACATTTGCATGCTTCCTGTAGCACATTTGAGATACTGAAGTGTCCTCTCTATGTGTGTTGAGAGGATTTAATGAGTCACACTGTAGTTGTTCATGTGATTACTGAGATGTGTTTCTTTCATTTTCTTTTTATTTTCGTACTCACTTTTCTCACTTTTTTGTTTGTTTTCAGAGTCTTCCAGTAGCAGCAGTGGGTCTGACAGTGAGAATGATGAAAAAAGACCAGTCTTCAGCAATGAGTTCAAACAAGACTCTCTTGTGGAGGGTACTTCATCTCGCTACTCAATGTATAACAGTGTCTCCCAAAAGCTCATGGTAGGTCAAAACAGTTTTGGACCTTGTAGAATTATTACCTTAATTATTGAAGTATTTCTTTTGCTTTCAAGTAGTGCCATTCTGCTTTATGTAAGGCTGGAAATTTGTTGGAAAGGCAGGGAGTTGTGAATGGTAGCAACTGTGAAGGTGATTGCCAACCCCTTGATTGCACAGTGTTAGTGTGGGGAAGAAAGTACTTCTAGGAAGTTCTAAGAAAATTATTGACTCTTTCATGGTAGTCCCAAATTCGGCAACTTGTTCCTGTGTTTAAAGGCAATAGTAGAAGAGGAGTCTCTTTCGGTGCATGCTGTTACACTTAATTCCTTATGCTAACTTTGTCACTGTGGTATCACAAGTATCTCATCCTGAGAGAATTTCTATTCTTGATAACAGAGAAACAAAAATGTTATTTCCAAGGGCAGCAGAGAAGATGAGATGTATACTTGTCTATTACTTGGAATGTGACAGGAAGTTTCGGCTCAATGGGAGACTGAATTTGGGTCTCCTTTTGTTCTGTGCTGCTCACAGGAGCGCAGGGGTCAGCAATCTTGCCATGGTGTAGGCCAGCTTGTACCTGCCTTTGCCAAGTTACAAGTTCAGTCTAATATGCCGGAAGCTGGGAAGTGCTGGCTGCTCCTAGGAGTGGGAACAGGGAGATACTGCCTCTCAAGGAGGTGGAACACTGCTGACCGGCAGGACCATACCTCTGTGTGAAAAGAGAATTTTCAGCTCTTGCTGAATCAAAACTCAATAGGATCCAGAGGCTGAGAGCTGCTGATTTTGTGCCTCTGTAGGTAAATCCTGTTGCTGATCATTCAGAATCTGTCCACGTGCGTTTTTTGGCAGTGGGCTGCAGTTTGCTGATTCTAGCACAAGACTCTCTTTTACCTGGGGAGTTCTCTCCTGAGCCAATTGGAATGTGTGCTTTCAGTTGCCACAATACAGGAAGGAGCTTTTACTACTGAATTTGCGAGGCTTTTGTTTGTAAGGCCTCATAAATTTGAATATAAAGATTGATGTGGTATCAAGTCTGGTTGAATGATTTGGTAGCATAAGGTAAGTAAAAGGAAAATAATCCTTGATTACTAGACGTTCAAAATTCTGTCCTCAGAAAACCAGTGTATAACAGGCTTGATGTCTGTCGTATTTGGTGTACATATTTCAAGGTCTGATTCAGAGACAGGTAGCAAAGGGAAAACACTGCCTACCTTTGTATAAAACCTGTCAGATGTTCTTGTGTTGTTTCTCATACAGATTGGTAATAAATGATGTTTTTGTTGCTTCTCACGGGAAGGAGTATATGGATAATATTCATTCAAAGTGAAACTTAATCCTTAAGTCTTTTATTTACTTATTGTCTTGTAGTTGCGTACTGGAGGGAGTGAAGTTGACTGCACTCATGCTTTTTGTTGTTCTCTTGTTGCTAAAATTTATGAAAAGAAAAGCCTGAAAAACTATCAGTTAATGAATATATTTCTTTTAACCTAAGAGATGGGAACGTGTTTTAGAAGCAGTGTGTCTGGCATTCCTCCTCTGAGTTTTAGGTGAAGTTTTAACTGTTTCTTGAAATGTATGTGGGTGCATGTTCATAACAAAGAATATCATCACAACATGATTTTTTTTCCTGTGCCAGCATCTTTTGTTTTATGAACCATTCGTGCTTACTGAACACTGTGATGAATGGCTCCAGGCTCCTCACTGTTTCTCCCTCTGAGCAGCCTGTTCCCACATTACTGAACCTTCTATAATGTGCTGTCGTCTAAAACATCATTCTTCAGATCTCGGGTTTTTTGTGTCCTGCCTCAGTGAAGTGAACTCAGCATTAAGTCCTGAAAGCCACAACTGAGATTAAAAATGCTCAATGCCCTCAAGTCACTTCAGGGAGATGTGCCATTTTCCCTGCCAGTCTTTGACCCCAGTAGTAGCAGGTAAACTCAAGTCCGCTTGCCTCAGTGTGCTCCCTTTGCTTTCTTTATAGGCCAAGATGGGCTTCCGAGAAGGAGAAGGTCTGGGAAAATATGGCCAAGGCAGGAAAGATATTGTTGAGGCCTCCAATCAGAAGGGTAGGAGAGGCTTTGGGCTGACCCTCAAAGGATTTGATGGGGAGCTCAATATTGATTGGCAGGATGAGCCAGAGGTAAGTACTTCTTGTTTCGAATCCCTTTTCTGTTGCTGTGTTCAGGATTTGCCCTCTGGAAATGATGTTTAGTGTTGTCTGATACAACTGCCTACCAATAAGTGGCTCTGCTGGGTAGACCCAGGCCTTATTTTGTCCCAGAACAGCATGGCAAAACTTGTTTTCTGTCACACGTATTAATGTTCTGGCATAAAATTAGTTTCAGATGAATTGTGGTCTGTAGGATTTGTTTCCGAGTTTGCAGTAGTGAATGTGATTGAAAATTTTTATCAAGCTCTTTTGAGTTTACCATTTTTATTTTGTGTATAAGTTTTCATGCATGTATAGTTGATTTTTTTAAAAAAATGTTTTCTGGATGTGTTCAATAGTCCCAAATAAAATGCTTAGATGTTCTATTCTTGTGTCTTGTCAAGCTCTTCAGCAGAGAAGAACATTGGGAAACAGAAATAGATGTTTTCAGGAAAGTAAAGCCCAGTTTTGATATCATTTGGTGCAAAATAGCTGCTGTATGTTTGTATTTAAAAAGAAACCAAACCACAATACTGAATCCTAGGGATCTGGCAGCTGGAGAGTAAGACAGAAGGTCCCAGCCCTTGTTAGTCAAGGGCAACAATACTTGTCAAGTCATGTATGGTGCACCTTATAGTACTTTGCTCTCCATTCTTTGAATTATTTTCAACAGTTGAAAATAATATCGGAGGTTGTTCCTTGAAAGCCAGGATTTTAAAACCTGTTCTGTAGGCTCATTGGTTGAGGTCTCATTTTCCAGTGTGTTTCTGTAGCTCACAGCAGATAAGTGTAATGTCCGATTAACCCCTGTGGATGATAATAATGATATAATAAATATAAGAAGGTTAGTAGATCTCAGCAACCTCTCTTTGTGGGGGAGTAGCATCACTTTGATCTTAACTGCTAAAACAATTCCTTCCCAGGATTATAAAAATTGTTTGAAGCCTGAATTAAGTTGTGGAATGAGGGAGCGTTTCAGAAAGAACTGGGAGAAAGAATGTGTAAAGCACCATCAGGAAGCATGGGGTTTTTTTTGGCAACTGTCTCTTGCACTGTCTCTAAACTGTACCTTGAGAGTACTAGGCTTTTGTTCTGTCTTGATTATTTATCCGACTGTAATGAGAGGAAAGTGGTGTGGGTTTTTTGTGGTGGAGGCTTTTTTGATTTTTATTTTGGTTATTTTTTTTTTAAATTAAGTCCAAACAAATAAGATATTTTTAGATTAGGAGGAAAAAAATCTCTATGGTTGGCCCCAAAATAACATAACCCCTTATGCTAGGATTGGGAGGCAAAATTTTGTGGAGCAATTAATTGTTATGTTTTGCTAACAAAAATGTCTTTGGCTCTTCCCATTCCTTGTGTTTGCAGCCCAGTGCTTATGAGGAGGTGGACTGGTGCCTTGAGTGCACCACAGAAATTCCTGACGCCCAGGAGCTGAAGGAGTGGATGACTGTGGGGAAGGTAATTTTTTAGATCTCAGTACTTACCAGCCTAAAATGATGCAGGATTACTCAGCCTGAAACAATTGCCTTGTCAAAGAGTTGTAGAATTACCTAGGCTGGAGGGAACCTGTGGAGATTGCTAGTGTAGCTTCCTGCTTAAAGCAGGTCCAACTAGATCAGGTTGCTCAAAGCCTTGTTCGGTTGTGTTTCGAGTATCTCCAAGGATGGAAATTTCACAGCCTGTTTGGGCATCTGTTTCAGTGTTTGATAACCCGGTTGGCAAAAGAAAATTTTCATATGGCTAGTTGGCATTTTTTTGTGTTGCAGCTTGTGTCCATTGCTTCTTGTCCTATTGCTGCCCATCTCTAAGAGTCTAGATCAATTTTCTCTATTTCCTGCCATTAGATACTTGCAGACAGCAATAGGATCTCCCTTCCTCCGTTGTGAACAAACTGTTCTCTCAGTCTCTCCTCGTACACCAGGTGCTTCTGCACCCTCATCATCTTGTTGGCCCTTTTGCTGGACTTGCTCCAGTATGTCTGTCTTGTACTGGGGCTGAACTGGATGCAGTATTCCACATGTGGTCTCAAGATGCTTAACAGAGGAGAATAATTCCTCAGCCTGCTGGCTACAGTTTTGCTTAGTGTGTGGTTGACAGCCTTCATTCATTACTGGTACATGTCGCATTCTGAAATGACTGATACCATGTTTGCTAATTGTTACCTGTGTTATCATCCCGTTCCAGAGGAAGATGGTGATAGAAGATGAAACAGAGTTCTGTAGTGAAGAACTTTTACGTAATGTCCTGCAGTGCAAGGTGAGTCCCCCTCTTTAGAGAGGAACTGCAGTTTTGGGGAAGCGAGTGACATAATTGAAGAGGATTGAGTAGTTTACTTAGGTGATTGGCAAGAGCTCAGAACATCCTTTTTCACCTCTGTGCCACTGGTATGACCTAGCATCCTGGTTGCTACTGGTTGTTCAGCTACCTGTTCTGCACCTCAGCCTTCAAAGAGATGAATGAAAACAGTCTCCCTTTCTTAGTCCAGCTGAAAGGCTGAAGACTTGAATAAGCTAAGGAAATAAGCTCCCTTTCTTTTCTTGTGTGCTCCATCTTCCCTCCTAGATTTTATCATGCCCTTGTAAGTTGCAGTAGAGTGTGAGTGTGTATCTGCGTGAGCGAAATACCTTAGGCTGGGACTGCTTTTGAGGTGGCTAACCATGTTACCAGGCTCTGGAGCTATCAGTACAGAATTTTTCAGCGTCACTAAATTTTCTTAAGAACTGGGGTGGCTTAGAAGAAGAGTGAATGTCATTATGTGACAGGAAAACATGTATTGGTGAACCAAACTGCACAGAATTTGCTGTCTAAAGCGAGAGAAGCATGAGGATGGGAAATGATCATGCCTCAAGCCTGTGTCAGATCCTGCCTCAATGTTTCTCAAGCCTGTGTCAGGTCCAGCTCAAATTTGTTTCTGTTTGTGCAGAGTGTATTTGATGAGCTGGATGGAGAAGAGATGCGTCGAGCCCGAACGAGGTCTAACCCCTATGAGATGATCCGTGGAGTTTTCTTCCTGAACAGGTTTGCAGAACTTCTGCTAGTGTAGCTCCTTTCCCACTGATGTCCACTTTCAGCCTTGGGAGCCAAGGTTGAAACTTAATAGGTCCCTATTTATGTGTTTACAGGGCTGCAATGAAGATGGCAAATATGGACCATGTCTTTGACTACATGTTTACAAACCCTAAGGACTTCCATGGGGTGAGGGCCTCTATTTAACTTTCAAACAGCAGTGCTTTCTCAGAGAATGGAGAAGGTGGGGAGAAAGGAGAATCCTTGGGACACTAGCTGGGAAAACAAGTGCTTGAAAGAGACTTCTCTGAGTAGTGCAGTTCGCGGTGTATCTGGTTTGACTGATGGGAGCTGTTACTGGGTCAGTAGAATTCCCTCAGTTTCCTCTTGCAGAGGCCTTTGATAAAGGAGCGAGATGCAGAGCTGCTCTACTTTGCTGATGTGTGTGCTGGTCCTGGAGGCTTCTCTGAGTACGTCTTGTGGAGGCGGAAGTGGCATGCGAAAGGATTTGGCATGACCTTGAAAGGACCAAATGATTTTAAACTAGAGGACTTCTATTCTGCTTCCAGTGAGCTCTTTGAGCCTTATTATGGTATGTAGTGCATGTGTGAGTGTTACCTGATGTTTTTGCTTATGCTGCAGCTTCTGTATCAGGAGCGGAGCTGGTATTGATACCAGCATGGGGATCTGAGAGAAGGCTGTTTACAGGGAACCGTTTTGCAAGGTAGAAGGGGGGGGTGTCATCTGAGGGAAAGGTTTGAGATTGGTGAGCTTTCATATCAAGTCACATTACTCCATTTATTTCCTGTTTGCCCTCAGAATGTGTGTTGCATTGTAATAGTTAATACTTGAGTGCTTTGCTTAGCTAAAAATTGTAGCTTGCTTTAAGATTACTTGACAATATTTTTCCCATTTCACTGATGTCAGCATGAAACACAGTGTGGTGACATCATAGAATCATAGAATGGTTTGGGTTGGAAGGGACCTCAAAGATCATCTAGTTCCAACCCCCCTGCCGCAGGCAGGGACACCCACCACCAGACCAGGTTGCCCAAAGCCCCATCCAACCTGGCCTTGAACACTTCCAGGGAGGGGGCATCCACAACTCCTCTGGGCAACCTGTTCCAGTGCCTCACCACCCTCACAGTGAAGAATTTCTTCCTCATATCTAAATCTACCCTCCTACAGCTTAAGGCCATTACCCCTTGTCCTATCACTCCATGCCCTTGTAAACAGTCCCTCTCCAGCTTTCCTGTAGGCCCCCTTTAGGTACTGAAAGGCTGCTAGAAGGTTTCCCAGAGCCTTCTCTTCTACAGGCTCAACAACCCCAACTCTCTCAACCTGTCCTCGTAGGATTGCCCAAAGATCTGTTAACAGAGGCAGAGATAAAAACCTTACTTGCCTGACTGGCAGTATGCTTCTATATCAGACCTCCCTAGCTCTACTTCGGTAATTGATAGTGGGCTCTTAGTAAAGATAAATAAAACAGATTTGGGCTAGAGGCTGTGTCTGAATCACTGTGACTAAATGAGGCTCTTAATCCAAAGAGGTTTAAGCTAACATGTTTTACCTTGCTTTGAGACAGACTAAGCAGGTGTACACAGGCAATTGCTGCATCTTACCTCATGGATGGTAACTTGTTAAGCTTACTGATATGTTTGAGCCCTATCTCCATAGTCTCTAGGTAAAGGAAGGGAAATACAAAGATTTGCAAATACAAAAATACAAGTATTCCTGCTTATTTCAGACTGTATAAAGAAAACTCGAGTGTGACTCTCTTGTAGAGGAGAAGGTTTGCTTTTCCATTGTTGTACTTTTTTTTTTCCCCCCTCCACCACTCTAACTCATTGACTGCCACTTTTGACACTTGACCATGAACTCTTAAAGAATGGTTATCACTTCAGGATTAGATCTGTTAAAGAGAAGGTTCATGGCAAGGGCAGCAAGGCTGATAAACACATTGTTCTAACGGTTGCAGCATTTGGATCTTCATAACTCACTGCAAACTGGTGTTCTTATGGAGAGGAGGAGATACCTGGAGAAATGAATAGCCCAATGACTTTGATGCATTTTCTTGATCCTTTTCTGTCTGTCACACTATAAAGTCTAGTGAGATGTATACAAACTCTCTTCCAGTGATGGGAAGGAAGTAGATTGCCGTGATATTTGTGTTGTGAGAACTGGTAACAAATTCTAGTGTCACTTCACGTACCGACAGGATGATTGATGAGGAATTTAGTTATCAAAGCGCTATCATGCATCCTGATTTCTGCTGCTTTCTAGTCCTCTGGTTCAGTTAATAGAAGCTGTAGTTGTAGAAGATTTATAGGGACTAATACCAAATAGAAGTCCAGGCTTCTTCAAACTCAGAATTGGTGAGCTCTAGAATACACCTTAGATTAGCTTTCTAAAACACCAAGCTGGGGGACAATGTACCTCTCTTTAAAAAGAGCCATATGGGAAAACTCTATGAATATTCACACACAAACCCTATTTCCCTTTCCCTACTCGCTTTATAAATTTGTTTGCAGGGTCTTTTGGGGGTTGCTTTTTTAAACTCCAGATTACATTGTGTTTGGAAATAGAGTATTGTGTTTCTTTGGAATGATGCACTGACATCTTAGTAGAAAGTTGCCAGTGCACAATGTAAATAATTTTGCATTGCCTTTAAAAACATATTATTAACAGGTGAGCTGTGCAGTGAGATTGAGCCTTGTGTTTTTAGTAGGTTCAGCTATGTGTCATTCCTACTTGGATGAGAATATTTTGTCATGTAGTCAGCTCTCATCTCAGAGGAGGGCAGTGAGTGATTTGTCTTTTGCTGAGCCTAATGTACAACTTGTCATTTGAGCATGGTTATTATACGGCTTTGTTTAGCCCTGATCGCACAATCTGAATAATTTTCCTAAATTAACAAGTGTCTTCGGTGGTGAACAAGGGAATGTGTTAATGCTTATTTGCCTGTCCAATGTCTGTGTAATTTCTTGCTAAATGTTGATTGAATACAATAGATCACCTGCACATACTGATCTTTTTTCTGTACTGGCAAACATGTTAGTAATTGTCTCCTCTTTCCCCCTCAGGTGAGGGAGGGATTGATGGAGATGGAGACATCACTCGCCCAGAGAACATTACTGCTTTCCGGAATTTTGTTTTGGACAATACTGATCACAAGGGAGTGCATTTCTTAATGGCTGATGGGGTTGGTCCATTTCTTTTTCTTCCTGCACTAATGACCAAAACTGATACCTCAGTGTGCATATAATAGGATATTTGACATGTGTCCATAGTTACAATGTGAAATTCTTCAAAGCTTGCCATTAAAATTCCTGGTGGCAGTGTTTTTTATCTTAGAAACAGAAATTATCATGATTCCATGATTTAGCTATACAAAATCCTTTGCTAGACCAACAGATTTGTGGATATACTAATCATACACTATGTGCTTTGCAGGGTTTCTCAGTGGAGGGTCAGGAGAATCTGCAAGAAATCCTAAGCAAACAGCTCATGCTTTGCCAATTCCTTACGGCACTGTCCATTGTCCGGACAGGTATGTTTTATCCATTAATCTTCTTCCTCCTTCTCTAAGGTGTGGGTGGCATTGTGGAAGGATGCTGTACAATTTTTTGTTAACGTGCCACAAAGTCTGTTCTGCAGCGAAGCTAAGTTGCACAGAATTGAGTGTGTACACATACATCCCGAGATGGTTGTTGTAAAGCTAAGAGAACTGGGGCAAAAAAATAAGATTATCTATGTCTGTTTTGCTTTTAATTAAAAGCATGAGGTAAAATGCATTAGTTTAAAGCTCTTGCAATGTGTTATGTAGCTGTCTTGGGCTAAAGTCACTAGTGTGATAACTAGACAGTATATCTGAGTTTTATAGCACTAGCTGGACCAACCGCTTCCTGAATGTTCTAGCAGGCTGGTTGGAACAGAGTGGTATTTGTCCAGTTCATCCTTCTCCTCTAACTTGTGGCTTTTCTCCTTTAAATCTGCCATCTCTGCAATCAGAACAAGATGACATCTCACATTGTCTTAGCTGTACCTCATTGTTGCCAAATGATGGACATTACAGCTCTATCTGGTTTTGATGGCTCCTCTCTTCTGCTGAGTTTAGTTAGCATTTGGCACTGATGCAAAAGAAAAAATGTTCATTATGTTGTCATTTATCTTGTGCCCTATATTTAGAAGTACCTGAGGCAGTGATCTACTTAGCAGTAGTCTCAAATGTGATATGGTAAAAGGAGCAACCTTCTTTAAGTCTTTCTTTAAGTCTGGGTAGATAATAGCTCTGTAAGACTGACTGGTTTTTGCCTGGGGAAAGTGGGAATCTTGTTTGAAAGCAAGGGCCGACATAGATTCTCTTCTTTCTAGATGGCGAGCTATTCTGTTTAGGTAACATCTGTTAGTTTTATCATCCAGCCTGAGGTTTCTTGTTGCAGGTATTGGAGCTCCTCTTCTGTCGAGACTGTTGCATAGCATGCTGCCATGCCATAGGGCACAGTTTGGGCCTGGAAGGGGAGGATGGGGGGTGGGTAGAAGGTTTTGCTCGTGAGACAGCGTGCATACTTATTCCATCCTGGGCAGGGAAGTGCTTTTTTCTTTGCAGAGATATGGGGAAGATGGTTCATGGACCCCCACTGGCCCACTTCATGCATGTGTTTTAAATGCTGTTTAATTGTACAAAAACAGTCTTACAAGTTCTGCAGAAATGAAAGTTATTGAGGTGCCGGTATCTCCTTGTTTCCTTATAATCTGCTGGTATTGATGTCCTTCCTCTCTTATTTTCTAGGAGGACATTTTGTCTGCAAAACCTTTGACCTGTTTACTCCTTTCAGTGTGGGACTTGTTTATCTGCTGTATTGCTGCTTTGAGCGAGTGTGCATCTTTAAACCTGTGACAAGCCGCCCTGCTAACTCAGAGAGGTGAGATTCTTGTGCATGAGGCATGACTTCTAAAGAAACCCTGTCCTCTAACTACAGTGATGGATGGATTTGGGTAAGTCTAGTGGAAGCTCTGACCTGCCTCAATTGGCAGCTGTCTTGGAGAAGGAAACATTTTAGATGCTTAACAAATTATGATGTTTGACAAGGTAAAGAAGATAATTGCCAAATTACCCATCTGAGGAGAAAGCAGTGGAACTGACTATGTCACAAATTCTGTTTTGGATGAAACAACTATGGTTCCAATGAAGCTGGAGCATGTTATGTGTGTTGTCATTGTACCTGTCAAGTTTAGCACAATTGATTTACTATTTGAGGGAGATCTGTGTATTTTTTTCAATAGGGTTGAGTTTCCCAATCTTTCCAGAGAGTAGAAAATGTATAATGACTTTGTGATAGGTGAGATTGTGCCTTCCTAGGGATACCCCAGAGGAAAGAATTTCTGGAACTTGGGAAACTGTCCTGATAATGGAGTGTGGCAGGAAAGTTGGCTGCATGGAAGATCTGAACCCACATGATCTCTCTGCCTTGCTCTGCAGGTATGTGATATGCAAAGGATTAAAGCTAGGGATTGATGACGTGCGGGACTATCTCTTCATGGTGAACATCAGACTCAACCAGCTGCGCAACTCTGATGTGGATGTGAATCTTGTCGTCCCATTGAACGTGATCAAAGGCGACCAGGATTTCTACGATTACATTGTCCAGTCCAATGAAAAGTGAGTGCCCATACGCAATGGGGCTGCTGGCTGTAGGCAGGTTAGCCAACATGGCTTTCAGTTGTAGCTTCTTGCACTTGTGGAGGTACTTGATGCTGCTACACTGCTCTGCTTTTGTTCCCTGAGGGGCTAGCAGAGCAGAGGGACCCTGTGCAGAGAGAAATGCTGTATAGTATTAGTGACTGTTTGGCCTCCAAATACTGTGTAGAAAGTAAAGGAGGCTACTGCGTAGTTCTTCTCAGTGGTCTTCCTGTCACTTTGAATCATGTTGGCAATGATCCATCACTGCTCTGAGGATCACACTGGCTTCCTCCTGTTGTCCTGGTACTCTTCCTTGTTTTGAACAGTAGAACAATCTTGGTGATTAGCTTGCTCCCTGACTGAAACTTGTCCTCTCTTCCAGCCACTGCAAAGTTCAGATAAAGGCACTAGCCAAAATTCGTGCCTTTGTTCAAGACACGTGAGTATATTCCTCTGGCTTTTGGTGAGGATTGAATTAACCTGCTATAAACGAATTGCTTTGCCCTTCTTTAATGTGTTCTTGATTTGAACTGGTACTTAGCTTGACCTTTGGAGCCAGAAAAGTGCATAGTGCGTTTAGATAGCTCAGTTTCTGTCTCTGCCTGAGTTATTTGCAGAAACATATGGGTGGCTTGAGGAGTCCTGAAAATTGATGGTCTATTACCCTTGTTGAGAAGGCTTCCATGCATTGTATGATTTCAGATTCTTCTTAGCAGGAAT